GAAAAGCAACAAAATTACTTATAAAGATAAACCCATTAAAATTACGCAGACTTCTCAACACAAACCTTCAAAGCCAGGAAAATTTGGAGTGAAATTTTTCGAGCCTTGAAAGAAAACAACTTCAAACTTAAGTTGATATATCCTGCAAAACTACCTTTCAAATGTAATGAAGAAATATGATCTTTCCATAAGAAAGAGCACTTGGAAAAATTCATGACCACCCAACTAGCACTCCAAAAATTCTCAAGGATATCATAGAAAGAGACAATAAAGCCATGATGGCAAAAATCCAGTGGAAAAAATATGTAAGGTACAGTGAGCAGTTAAGTAGAAGGGGAAAACTGGGATGTAATCCACAACAGGAAAAATACATTGACAAGAATAAGTCAATATATTTCAGTAATAACTCTCAATAACAGATTCAATGCCCATATCAAAAGGCACACATTGGCAGATTCGCTCAAAAAACAAAACTCAATGCTATATTGCATACAAGAAACACATTTAATCAAAAAAAATTTCATAGACTAAAAATCAAAGGGTGCAAACAATATTCCATGCAACAGAAACCTAAAACCAAGTAGGAGTAACTACTTTATTTTCAGACAAGGTGTCCTTCAAACCATAACTAATCAGGAGAAGCAAAGAAAATCAATACACTTTAAGGGAATAATTCAACAGGAAGAGATAAGAATGGTAAATATATATGCATTGATATTAGTTCACTTAACTTCAAAATACAAACAATACTGGACATAAAAGATAGGATAAACATCAATACAAATAAGTAGGGGGTGTCAATACCCTACTAACACAACTAAACAGATCAAGTAACAAAAAAATCAACAAATAAACTTCATATATATCTATAGAGTGTTCAACACAACTACAAGAGAACACAAGTTCTTCTTGGTAGCTCATGGAACTTTCTCAAAAGTAGATCACATAGTAGTGCATAAAACAGGCTAAATACATACAAAAGAATGAAAATTATCCCATGTAAGTTATTAGCTCATGGTTCAATGAAACTAGAAATCAATGGCAAAAGAAACCACAGAAATTATGGAAAAACATGGAAATTAAACAATACACTCTTGAATAATCAATGGCCACAGAAGAAATTAATTCTTAGAATCAAATGATAATGTGAATGCAACATACCAGAACATACTGGACACAATGAAAGCAGTCCTAAGAGGGACATTTATGGCTATGAATACCCAGATTATAAAAACAGAGTGAGCCCAAATAAAAAACCTAAAGATACACCTCAAAGTCCCGGAAAAATAAGAACAATCCAAATCAAAAGCAGTACATGGAAGGAAATTATAAAGATCGGAGAGGAAATTAATAAAATTGAGACAAAAAATACAAATACTCAATGAATTGAAGAGGTGACTCTTCAAAAGAAAAATGGACCCTTAGCCAATATTATTAAAAGAAGTAAAAACTCATGTCAATGCCATGAGAAACAAAAAAGGAGAAATCACAATGGAAACAGCTGAAATCCAGATGATTATTAGCAACTACTTTAAAAACCTGGACAATTTTTTAAAAATGGATAGATTCCTAGATGCATATGAATTACCAAAACTGATCTCTCTTTAACAAATGGTACAGGGAAAAAAATGGCTGTACACATGCAGAAGATTGAATCTAGACCCATATCTCTCATCATGCACTAAAATAAAATAAAAATGGCTTAATTACCTAAGTATCAAAACAAAAACATTTAATCTGCTGGAAGATAAAACAGGTAAAAATCCCTGAGCACATAGGCATAAGCAAGGATTTTCTGAACAGAATCCAATTGAACAAGAAATAATACCAAGAACTGAGAGAAACCATCCCTCCATATGGAATTGGGCAACTATGGGTTAACTGTGTTATTAGGCAACTATAGGTTAACTATAGATTATGCTCTCTGAAGAATGTACCTGAGTAGCCATGACAACTTCTGTAATCTGTCACCAAAGGAGCATAATGGGCTCAGAAAGTCCTGCCAGAACTCTTTGCTCTCCCCTACACACCCACTGCTCTGCTTTGTGTAAATCCTGCTTGCTATATTCTCAGGGAAACTCCAATGGAATTAAGTTTCATAGGTGTAAAAAAAAAAGAGGTATATAAGGAAGTGCAAACTTTTCTATTTGGGGCTCTCTAGACTGACAGGAGTCACTTGCTGAGCTGCTGGCATCATTAAAAGCCACTTTTTACTTCTACCTTTGTGTTAAAGAGTTGTCTGTCCAGGGTCCCCACTGTTTCCTGCTTCAGAATCAACAAATTGGATTATATCAAATTAAAATTCTTTTGCACTGCAAAGGAAACAACCAACAGAGTGAAGACACAACCTATAGAAAGACCAAAAAGTGTTACCAGCTAGTCATCAGTCATAGGACTAATATTTATAATATATAAAGAATTTAAATAAATTAGA